ATACATTATAAACCTAGTTTAGATATCTATATATACAATGTAAGACTGCGTGGTTAGACATTTCCTTGTATTATCACTAAACGATGTAAATATTTGTTTAAGGTGCTTGATATCTTATGATATATAGAGTATTAAACATTATCATATAATGTTAGGATTTATTTGTATTAGGCTTGCAAAGAAAACGGTGTACAAACTGAACGATTGATTTTCTATGTTATTGTCGTATGCTAAGTCCTTCATTCTAGCGCTTGTATTGTTTTTGGCCAAAGGGAGGTTTGATGTCAAGTAATGAGTACGTGCTTAACGTCTAGAATTTTCTTCAAGGGTTTAGTACCGGTTGAGACAGATATAAAGAACGAGATAGGATACAGTTATTGAGTGAGACTGTTAGTTAATTAATGAATAATTAGTGTAAAATTTAGTCAGTTCTTAATAGTTCACTGTTGTAAGGTTGAAATTTCTTTGCGATGAAGTACAAAAGATACAAAATTAGCAAGTAAATGGAATTTCTGTGTAGATGTTGTTTAGTCGTGAAGTTAGGCCTGCCATTAGTTACTTAAAATTCTACAAACTAAAAAAAAAACATGCAGTCAAACAAATATTGTCGTTATACTTAATGAACTGTACTTTCCAATGACCATTAAAGCTTCTTATTAACAACTAAACTAAAATAACCAGCCCAACAATAGAATTCGTTACAACAATGGTGTTTGTAGTGGGTAAAAATAAATGCTGGAAATGATGAAACAGAGTAAAGATGATTAAGAAGAAAAATACAGAAAATTATAAGAGGACTAAACATAAAGAGAAAGAAAATAAAAGCAAGAAGAAAGAGACAGTTAAATGAAAGAAAGATAAAAATTTGTTCAACAAAGTCATGGGAAATGATAACGAGTACGTCTACTGTAGGAAAAATATCTAAAACTGAACTGGCAAATATAAGGATCAAACTAGCCACGCCTCTTTCTAATTCTCTGCACCTGTTCAGGAAATCCAATCTGAAACACTATTCACTATGCAATAGAATAGGAGAGTCCAACTGGTCTATACCCGTCACCAGTATTGTTGTGCCACCTGTAACTCCAGTAACTTCCTATACTATTCCAGCAACATCGCTATTTCATTAAGCTATGTAATTTAGCAGACCAGTAATGTTGTCCAGTTGAGAAACTAACATATTGTCATGGAAAGGTACCATTGGAAGTATATAATATACAATTTGAAATAATTTCCAATTTGAATGGATCGAATAGTGAAACGTATGTTATTTATTTTACTGCATATTTAAAAAGAACAGCTCATTAAGCAGCGTTCCCACAAAGAACGTAACAACTACGAAGCATTATTGGCCACCTTATCACATAGATCTGGGTTGTCACATCAGAAGGAAGTTTCTAATGCAAAGTAATATGTTCCACGTGAAATGATGGATTTTTTGGCACATGACCAACTCCTCCACACCACTGTGGATAACCACTGGAAACTAAAGCAAAATAGCTTTGCATCTTTAAGGAGAATTGGCCAGCTTTCAACAAAACTTGAATCAATTAAAGTTATAAATAAACAACTAAAAGTAACATTCAAAAATTATAAGATCATCAGACCACATTGTGTGAAAACATCAAGTACATCTGATGGAAGTCTATTAAAACTCAAAGGATTAACTACAAAACTGTTTACTCAGAATGAACAAGTAAACTGAAGGAAAGAATGTGTTTAAAAGAACATGTTGCCAGGAACTGCAAGCAAAATTCTATAAGAAGTAAATTATTCCCAAAAGATGAAAGTACAAAGAAAGAGCTATAAGTGTAGAAAACACGGATATTATAGCTATGACTTTGAATCAACATATGATAATAAGCCGAGAAAAATATGCCATAAAGTTGTCTCCCAGAGCTCATGCAAATCAAAGGAACAACAAAAAGCTAACCAGATTTCGAAGAACACCTGTTAGTTGACTCAAGGCTGAAATTCCACTGAGAATGCTTTGATTGCCCCAGATGAGATAAGAAGTTCATTATTTAAAGAAATCAATCCACGATTCAATGGATTAATAGATGGGAACATGTTGATCAACACTAATTCCGTACTATTCAACCTGATCTGGTAATGAACAGTGGGAAATTACCTTCACAAGTGAAGCAAGAGTGTGGATTGATGGAAGCGATAAATGGTCATAAAGTTATAATAAGAGGCAGTTGAGAGTCTCCCTCATCGTGGGATTCTTCTTTACACAACATATGTGGGTAATTAACATCACGAAAGTGTGCATACTGAGAATAGACTTCGTATGGAAAGATGTAAAGTTAGCCTTATTTCAAAAAGTTTCACAATCTATGAATAAGAAACCAAATTGCACAACATACAAGAAAAATACAGCACCATAAGTTAAACTTTCAGTGACAACAAAGTAAATTACTCGAACCAATACTTATGAGAAACAACTCTTGGTCTAATGACTATAAAAACATTCCAGCTTACCCTGAGAGATTATTGATTAAGAGAACTCTGGTAACTCTAAAGAATGAGGGTATCATCATTAGGATCAAGAACAGGAAATATGTTATCAATTCTTCATATAAAGAGAAATTAGTGCTTAACTTACCTGTAAGAAGAATGAATCCACAATAATTTTTCTTTGGTAATGAAGGGTGACTGCAGTTACAAAAGAATATGCCCACCCACTGCAAAGAATTAACTATATTTTGGATGATTTATCTGGGTCAAAGCGACTTTCAACATTGGATTTGAAGAGTGGATGCTGGAAAATTCAAGTCGATGATGCTTGTTATAGACTAACAGGGGTATTCGATTGATTAAGGAAAGAAAATCTTAAGTTGAATCCTAAAAAATGTGTAAGTTGTTCTGTCAACAGTTGATTTTCCTGGAGCACATACGAGCGAAAGTGTCCACAAACTCAATCAATATTGTATCTTCAGAATAGGCCAACACCACAAACGCTTTGTGAGATAAGATGATTCTCTGGACTGTGTCTCTGCTATCACTTGTTTTTTAAAACCATTACTTGACACAAATTGCTAGAAAAACCAAATCATTTTGCTGGACTGCTGACTGCTAACAGGTCATCAACAAACGAAAGAAAAATCACTTCTACTGATGCATTAGCATACCAAGCTTTGAAGATTCATTCAGAGTTGATGTAGATACCAGTGATTTTGCATTGGGAGCAGTGTTACCATAAGTACAGCACATAAAAGAACATGTGATTGCCTACTACAGTAAAATAATGAACGCTGCAAAAAGAAGGTATTGTACAACTTGGAAAGAACTATTACGTGTTGTTTAATCCCTGACTCATCTTCATTACTATCTCTATGACCAACACTTTGCAATCTGAAAAGAGCAGGTGGTACTGAAGTGCTTGATGAATTTTTATAATCCAAAAAGCCAGATACTAAAGTAGTTCCAGAAACATCAGGAGTGGAACTTGAAGATCATGCATCACCCTGGATGGAATCGTGAAATACTGATGCATTATCCTGAAAACATATTATTACTAAAAACTGTAAGTACTGTGAAAAGAGGAAGTACAAGAAAGTAGACAACCATCCTAAAGTGCAAGGAGGAAGTACCAAAAAAGTATAGACAATTATCCTAAAGTGCAAGGAGGGAAGTACCAAAAAAAAAGTATAGACAAACGTCCTAAGGTGCAAGGAGGGAAGTACCAAAAAAAGTATAGACAAACATCCTAAGGTGCAAGGAGGGAAGTACAAGAAAATATAGACAACCATCCTAAAGTGCAAGGAGGGAAGTACAAAAAAGTATAGACAACCATCCTAAGGTGCAAGGAGGGAAGTACAAAAACGTATAGACAACCATCCTAAAGTGCAAGGAGGGAAGTACAAAAACGTATAGACAACCCTTATCTTCTTGTACGGATTCAGTAAAAAAATTACTGTTTTTTGAGCATTTTTCATTTTACCTGTACATTATTGGACGGATTATTTTAGATTTTTCCTTAAAAAGAACAAGGCAAAGTCCAGTCCACTTAATGATAACGAAAGCGTTTTATTTCTTCTACTAAAAATTTTACGATTTTCTATAATTAATCTATTGTACTTTGCCACAAACACAAATTCGACATTTACAGAAGTGAACTAACTGGCTAACAGCAACAGACAAACTGGCTAAATCATTTACTGATTACACTTTAACTGAGTAACAAACTTATTCGCTAACTCCAGCCACTCACTCTTTATATTTGACTCAAACCATTCTAAAACTTTGGAGAAAATTCCAAACTAAGCCATGCATTCATCACAACGTATGAATCCTCCATCTGACCAAACAACAGTGCAAGTGTATAAAATAAAAACATACCATACAATACTACTCCTTTCTACATTGTGTAGGCCCTTGAACAATGCTGTTTCTGTTTAAATACATATAATTTACATATAATTTTAATATACATATAATTTACGTATAATATACATATAATTTACGTATAATATACATATAATTTACATATAATATACATATGTATAATTCATTTTTCAGGTTTTGCCACTCTTTTTAATCTTAATGTTCATCGAAATATTGATATCATTGTGGAAAAAGAAACATAGCTACTCATTGCTTGACTCCATTGGCTCCATATCGCAAGGAATTTGCTCTGAATCTACAAAGTAAGATATTTTTATCAGTAATGTGTCTTTTGAGTATGGTGTCCGAGAAAAGTGTGTATTATTAGCAACCTACACCCAGCCTAATCAGCTTGTGAGTAACAACAGAATCAAACTAGGCGAAGGCGAAACAGAACGCAATTCAGAAAACGTGTATAATTTGTTTATTTGTTGATTGAATTTCGTGCAAAGTTGCTCGAGAGATATCTGTGCCAGTCGTTCCTAATTTAGAAGTGATAGGCTAGAAGGAAGAAAGCTAGTCAACACCACTCACCGCCAACTCTTGGGCTACTTTTTATCAACAAATATTTGAGTGACCATCACATTATAATGCCTCCACAGCTGAAAGGGCAAGGGTATCCGAACCTGTGACCCCCAAAATTCGAGTCGAGCGCCCCAACCACCAGACCATGTAGAGAAATATAACATTAGTCATGAGAATTTAAAAACTTAACCAATGCCTTGTACCACCAATTTATATTAAAATAAAAAATATTACAATATGTTGTTGTTTTTTTGGCAGATGTGTTTCAAACATTACTTACATCCGGTTAATATGCTTTTGTAATAGGTTTTACAAACAGATGAATTCCAATGCACACAATATTAAATCTCACCCAAACTCCTAGTGTCATGAACTAGTGCACCCTAAACGGTACACAAAAGTTTCAAAGTTTCTTATCCTGGCTATGCAGACGATCCAATAATTAGTTAAACTTTAACATTCTCTGTGGTTAAAAGAAAACTCCAAATTAAAGCTGTTAATTAAATCATTAATTTTTTTATTGCATGGTGCGAGGATTCTATTCTATATAGATTACATAAGATATATTGTATTGTGTACTGAAGTTCGACATACGTATGCTTGTTTAAAAAAATGAAGAAAAATTTTGTCTTATAAGTTAATTTTCAGTATTCTTTATACAACAGATTACTGTTTAAAGGTGTTCCACTTGCAGCTTACATTTGGATCTATGATAACTGGCGTGTTACAGATCTTCCATGGAATTCTATTTGGACTTGGCTTATTTGTTTCATTGGAGTAGACTTTGGGTACTATTGGCTTCACAGGGCAAGTCATGGTAAGTTTAATCTTTATAATTATATATATATATATATTTTTAAATTTCGCGCAAAGCTACACGAGGGCTATTTGCGCTAGCCGTCCCTAATTTAACAGTGTAAGACTAGAGGGGAGGCAGCTAGTCATCCTCACCCACTGCCAACTCTTGGGCTACTCTTTTACCAACGAATAGTGGGATTGACCGTCACATTATAACGCCCCCATGGCTGAAAGGGCGAGCATGTTTGCGAGTCGAGCGCCATAACCACATGGCCATGCCGGGCCCAATTATGTTGTTTTTATGATATTATTATTATGATTCAGGCCTTGATGAGCTGTTTTTTACGATATTTTTACAAGTTTACTAAAATTTTATGTTAGGACTCCTTTGGTGATTCCATCTAGCCTCAAATGAACGAGTATGAGTGGTGCTAAATAAAACTGTAAAAAGAATAAAACTGCCAGATACCAAAATTAGTTGGTATAATTATAAGAAAAAACAATGTGGTTGTAATAAGTTCTAGAAACTTCTTTGTACAAGCAATTAACATATGTATTTTACAAATTGCCTCCCAGTGACACAGTTGCATGTCTGCGGATTTATTCTGCTAGAAACCGGGTTTCGATACCCGTGGTTGGCAGAGCACAGATAGCACTTTGTGTAGCTTTGAGATTAATAACAAACAACAACAGCAATTTATAAATTAAAGGCAATCTTCCACCATCTCAATAGTTTTTATACTGCCTAATATACAAGGTGTCCCAAAAGTAGACATACAGTTGATAATAGGTAATGTATTTAAAGTAATTAAATAAAGATTAAAGTATACAGTTGATAATTAATCATTTATTTAACGGCACTTTATACATAACACGGAATTATGGGAAAGTTAACCCTGCAGGTGTTAACTCAATCTTGGGGTCTGCCTGCCACACTTGTGCAATCTTTCTGACACGAGTCTGTCTGTCCACCAATTTCTGTAAATGCGTTTGTGATGTGCCCTTTCATTTCGTCAACATTCCGCGATTTCCTACTGTAAACTTGGACCTTGGGTACTCTCCAGTAGATAAAGTCCATATGTAACTTTATGCCTACTTTTGGGCCACTCTGTATATATATATGACTTTCGGATTATTGGTGTGAGCAAAGATTGGCACATCCCCCACAGTTAGTATTGATTTATTAACAGACATGAGTTTGTTTGATGTCAGAGCAGTAGTCATCCTAAATCCCTGAAGATTATCATTGCTGATGACAAATCATCCATAAACCACACATGTACTTCCTTAACTCTGTGGATTCCCTATAAATACTTATGTTTTAGTATATCATGACCTCTAGCACTGCCAAAAGGTGTTATGTATGTGTTGTTAGCCTGTAAGTGTTAGGTTCTGTTATTAGCCAGTTAGCTAGAATGTGCTTTGGATCGTAGATGCTCAAGGATGGCCTTTGTCCTGTCTAAATGGAAAAGTTGATAGTTGAGGTGAATTGAGACTGTGATCATCAGAGCAGTTCGAAAGATGTCTGCAAGTAGATTACTAGTTTTAGAATATGGGTTTGATCTTGTGCTCAAGCAGGGATTAAGTGAGATACTTTAGCATCCTCAATTATTTGTTACATTACCGTCCATCTGACAAAAGCCATTCAGACTACGTAATAACAAATAAATCTGGTATATATTGGCACTGATGCTTGACATTGTTATATGTATGTATACTGTTGCCTTTGGGTTGCAGTTGACGTATCAGTGTTCTTCGTTTACTATATATGTTCTTAGTGTAGCATTTTATGATAATTAGTGCATTTGACTCTCAACTCTGGTTTGGGTTGTAATACGGGGTAGTCTAAAATTATCTTTCCTATTTTAAAATTTAATAATTAACTAACTAAGGAAATACAACCAAGCAGTTTTCAACCTCTTATAGCCCAATTAAATGTTTCTTTTTTTGTCATGTTCTTTTTCACTCAAAATGGCAACCGTGCAAGAAAGGGCTCAATGCGTCCATTAGCTTGCAGAGACCAAGTCAGTGCCTGTGATGCAGCGTAATTAAGAACGCCAGTGCAGGAAAGAAGTATGGGGTATGTTAAGGATATCATGTATCGCACAACTATAGCAGACATCACGGAGCTATAGATCAGGATAACGGACGCCATCCCCACTTTAACTGTGGACATGTTGCAGCGAACGTGGACTGAAATCGAATTTCGGTCAGACGTGCTGAGAGCCACTAATGGTGCACACGTAGAAGTCTACTGACATGTCAATAAACATTGTTTGAGTTGGGCTACAAGATGTTGAAGACTTTATGGTTATATTTCTTTAATTAGTTAATTATTAAATTTTAAAAGAGGAAAGATATTTTTGGAACACACTATATATTATTGTGTAGTACTGTAGAGTCAAGAGACAGTCTTGTTCTGAGTGGGGAAATTGTAATGGTAAGAATAGGTAACTTGTACCTTATTGGTTCCTATGAAAACATGGGCCACATATTAATATTATTAAGAGTTGAGTGTACCTACCTTTAAGACGAGATCAAATCATATCTTTAACAATTCAGTCCCCGATAAAAGTTCAAATTCCAGTACCTAAAATTAAAACATATCTTCATCATTTACACTCACATTCAAAATACGTACCATATCAACATTACTTGTACATAAGACAAAAATAATTATTCAAGAGTGTTAATAACTAATTTAAGAACTTAATAAAATCATTGTTTTTCTACAGAGATAAATATCTTATGGGCAGCTCACCAAGTCCACCACAGCTCTGAGCATTATAATGCAACTACTGCTGTACGACAGTCAATTTTACAAAACTATTTAACTTGGGTAAGTACTTCAAATTGTTATTTCTTGTTCAAGCTCTTTATATTAGCTAGTTATTCAACATTTAAAAAAAAACACTGTAGCTAACAGCTGCCACTTTTGTGTTTAACATCATCAAATAAAAAGTTTAATCGCATCGACCTGATACTGATAGTCAGCTTTGTATTAATTTAATAATGAAAAGGAGCATGAGAAGGATGTTTCATGTCTGTGTTTTTCTACTATATCTGTAGTTATAAACTTTCTCTTAGCAAATCAATAAGTACAACTTATGTCACCAGTGATTTCAATGTCAGTTTGTTTAAAAATGTTTAACACAAATTAAGGTTGATATTTTTCTAATCTAATTTTCTCATCATTATCATGGTTAGTAGCATTACGTACATTCATGTAAGTCTGATTATTGATTAGTTATTAAGATTTTTTTTAAAAGATAGTAATAACTAGTTTTTAGGCTGCTGTCGACTCAAGAAAGTCCTGTATTGGTAGTGGCTATGAAGGATTCAGTTCTTGGTCTCCTCAATGGAGAAGTAGAAACTATCCACTCATCTGGGGTCTGATAGTTCAGTGTGAACAGAAAAACAGTCTCCCTACCAAGAAGATCTAGAATCAAATCTAAACCACTACTACCTAAAAAACAATCCTTCTTGGGAATTCTTTGAAGACAACAACACATTAGCTTGTATAATGTAGGATAAAAACTAGTTAGTAATTAGAATCTAGTGATGAAAAATACTTTAGTAACTAAGTAATAATTAGACTCAGGTGATTGGTTAGGCTACTAACCATGACAACAATTGATATTTCATGATTGGTTAGGCTACTACCATGACAACAATTGATATTTTATGATTGGTTAGGCTACTAACCATGACAACAATTGATATTTCATGATTGGTTAGGCTACTACCATGACAACAATTGATATTTTATGATTGATTAGGCTACTAACCATGACAACAATTGATATTTCATGATTGGTTAGGCTGCTAACCATGACAACACTTGATATTGCATCCTTTCAACCTTACCATAAGTACTTAACTTTTCTGTAAAATGCATTATTTTCTTTAACGTTAAGCATTATAGGCTTAAGTTTTAGAATATCACGATTGGTCATATAATATGATCATATCATAGTATAACTGTATTTTTGGTGCTAGACTTCTACTTACATTAATGAGTACTCAGTATTTTTGTATTTTGTTTGAAGTTAAGCACAAAGCTACGCGATTGGCTATATGTACTCTGCCTACCACGGGTATCGAAACCCTGTTTCTAGCATTGTAAATCCGCAGACATGCCACGGGGGGGGGGGACTCAGTATTTTTGTATTGCCATTTCTGCAGTTAAACAATAATAAAAAATATTGAATAACTATATTTTTCAGTGGAAATAAAAAAGAAAGGAACTTCTTGTAAAAAAAAATCAGTGATAGTACATAAGTATAATTCTACAGGTAAGCCGTTAGTTTGTAAGTCTGTGAATTTAAGTCAATTTTGTACTTTCAATAGTTAATGATGTATGTACTTCTGTAAGTAAAGAAACGCTTTTAAATAGATTGATGTGTTGATTTGTTGTTAATTTGTGTATATCTAAATACCAAACAACTAGTATATTTATTTGATTTGTGGATGATAAATCAGTCTATTTTTCTTTTTTTAGTTTGTTACATTAAATGTTAATGTTTATATAGTGTTTAAAACTGTATTTTTAAATTATAATTACTTGGTGTTGTTGGTAGCTTGATGAGTAGATATAGAGCAATAATTAATCTAGATCACCTTGGCCTATCTTAAGATATGATATTCAATGTACTTTATATCATCACAAGAATGAGGTTTCCGTCCTTTATCCGGGTTATGAACTTTAAAAAAATGTGTGAGTGGATGCTATGATAAATAACACAAAAATCCTAACTTTCACACAAGTTATTTATAACATAACATATTATTACAGTATTCATTATTACCTCACCAAAAGTTTGGTATAAGCTTTAAGAACTCACTATGTATA